ATTTTATTAAAGCTATCATCTCAACTAGCGCAATGCTGCTCATTGATACGCATTTGATCAGTTCAAACTTGAGAGCACGGTAGGTTTGAACAGCGCACTACTATAGCCATGAGGTAGTGTTAAGAAAAGAGCTATATCTCGTCAAGTAAGCCGAACTTCATAGCAAAATATATGATATTCTGACCCTAGAAATTCTGAGCAATCGAATGGAGCGAAGAAATTCATATGCTACCGGTCAAACTTGATTGAAGATGTTCACCGCTATATAATTGATATGGGATTATGAAGATAGCTTTATCTCCTCAAATTAACCGAATTGCTCGGCAAATCATATGATTCCTCAACCTAGAGATTCCGCTGAATCGAATGGTGTAAAGAAGTGCATAGGTTACTGGGCAATCCTGAGCGTACGGTATCCTCGAATATGGCAACCCTATAATGGTATAGTAAAGCATTTGTTGATCTGTAGTGATACGATGGGCGTTGATCTGTAGTTATACGATGTATATGGATTAACGCGAATGCGCTTGTCAAGATGGCTTTGATAAAATAGCTATATCTGCTCGTGTAGGCAGAATTTCTCAGCAAAATACATGACATTCTCGATCTAGAGATTGAGAATATCACGTGTTTTGCTGAGCGTTTCTGCTTAAATGAGCAGATACGGCTGTAGCAAATTTTCACGTCAGATCCCGACCGACATGGAATTTTCCTCGGATGTCATCATCAGCGTTAATTGTGATGAAATTCTTTGCTGTTTCCCCAATCATATTTGTCATAATGGACAATCCAATGGAAATAACTGGCTCATCATCGGACCCATGCGTTGCGTTCTGATATAGACGAAGGTTGTGGCAAAACGTGCTAGTATCGAATATGTTGTTGCGTTTTAAAATTAATTTTTGTCCGTAGTTAAGTGTTTGGTGCATAAAATTAGCATCGGTTGAAACTATTAAGCCACCGGGATGATGCAGAAAGGAATGGATCCTGTGGTGTCACGAGAGATGCTCTCAACTGTTCCGGTCACCTCGCAAACATCTCCATCATTATCCGCCTATCAGTGTCAGGTGATGAGCTTTCCTTCAACGGATTTTTTTGATTAGCTCACCATCTCGAAATCCCTCAGTGCTTACCCACTGAATTTTTTTGCTGAGATTTTTACAGATTGTTTTGTGTGAATTAAGATTGAGCATTGGTTAAGGAGTGCATATTGTATGGTAGTGTATTGAAAGAATACGAAACACAACTGCTTCAACGATTGCGTGGATTATGCGATCCAGGCCAGACGGAGTTCCATGAACACGAGATGACTTTCAGTTTGAGTAAGTTTTGCGACTGCATGCTTTTCTAAGGTGTTCAATTCCGTAGTTCTTTAATCTTATTTCCTGAACGAATGATACCAGTGGTTCATGGAATAATTCACTTTTTACTACAGAAACTGGACAAGATCCAGACGTTACGGTACGTCTGCGGAGGAAATTTGGTACATCTGATGCAAGAAATTTGTTGTGGCATTTTCGATATATCAGTGCTCCGGAGGCAGATATATCGTGTCCAACAATCGTACGAAAATCGATCGATTCACTCATCTATTCGCATGATATGATGGAATTCGTTAAAACCCTTGGACTGAGGTTAGTATTTTCTTTTATGCTCATGAAATCTGATTTTTCTATACTTCTATCTCATATGAACATGTTTTGCTTCACCCTGTTTGTTTTCGTAAGTGACTTGCACTGCAGTCTGAAAACATATCAAGCAAACGCAAATCAATGAAATTGTGAATTATGTTTTCAGGATGGATTATGAATATATAACCAAGGGATATTTGTTCACGAAGAGCAATATTAAGGTTCGTTTCAGTTGCGTTCCTTCTTGAGTTAAACTGATTCAGTTGGCCGTCATCTTTGTTTCTTATTGAAGTTGCTGAATACCAAAACTGGTTCATGAGGCTTGCGTTCGTCGTTCCGTTGAATTCATCATCAGATTTCACATCTTCTCACTTCAAAAATTTTCAGATAGTCATTGGCGATATAACGCGCACCGAAAAAACTGGTACATATAATCCGGATCTATTGAAACCTTTATCCGATTCACTGCTCATTGAGATGAGTGTGGCGCAGCCCGACTCCAAAGAATACATCACTAATGCGAAAATGTTACGTGATTTTGCTGATCAGCTGCTACCGTTAGTGTGCTTTTTATTTTCTATTGATTCATTTAAATCCTAATCAACACTGCCATATTCGGCTGGTGCTGTGAGCATCTTCAGAAGCTTGTTTGATGAGACGAATAAATACTTTGAAATTCGTTCTATGTATTCTTGTTTTTGCTCGTTTAGTTATTTGTGAATAATTTATTATTCACTCCCTAACGAGTGTAATTATTTCAGAATTTGTGATATGCAAAAGGTAGAATATTGGCGAAGGTGATAAGATATATTTCTATTAGTACATAAACGTGTGCATGATCTCTGGTGATGTTTAATGTGGAGGGATGGATCGAGATGGCACGACGACGATCAGTGATTCTTAAAGATCTGTTGCTTATCACTAACTCGTTCATCAGTGTTCCTTCGCACTTATCACTATGATGAGTTGTATCTGGATGAATATGTGATGTAATGTATTATATAAATAAACACTTGCATTGATTCGAGAGTATTTTATTGACAGTTTCATAAAAACAAGTATTGAATAATTGATTTGTTGATGGAGATCTCGATGAGCAGTATTGTAGTAAGCATCGAAGGCACGAAGAACTGGGAAGTGCGTCTTTAGGATAGTTTCAAGAGCTTTAGGATACAGTAAAGCTGTTGTCATAATGCTGATGCATGGTGTGCATTATGTGGACGTCCTGGTCGGAAGTGCTCGAGGCATGACCGGAATCGTTTAGTTCGAAAGCAGTTAGCCCTGAAATAGAGAATGCGGTTAAGGTGTGTAGCTATTATAATGCTTGGAGTGCTGATAATCTGCTTTCGATCGTTCGTTTCAAAAAGAACATTTGAGAGATTCGGTAACCCCATGAAAATGGAGCAGGTTTATACATAGCGAAACTGAATAATTGTCGGACTTGAACATATCCTTAAACAATTTCGTTCTCAAACAATCAACCATTTCAAGAAACATGCGATTGCAGTAAAATGAATCGCCAGTGATATCATCTACTTGTGCTGATAGAATATTTTTCGACTCTGGAACTCTTTTCGAATGCAAACGAAATTGGTGTAATGTTTAGAAATACGCTCATCAGTGTTGGAGTTTTGAAATGTTCAAATTGCTAATTGTAACGAACGCATTACACTCACCTGCATTCCACTCGCATATTCGGTACTTTATGTGAGTACATTTCATGACAAATCTCACAAACTCGATCCATAATTGCATGCAGTGGCTCATCGTCATAGATTGAACATTTTTGGGTGACGTTCAAGCGCCAAGACGGTGCTGGCCTCATTAGCACTCGAGCCATGCAATACGAAGCGCTACTGAAGAATAGGACGAGAATGACTGTCACAGCGTACAGTTGCTGTTTCCACATTATACTTTCCTTTGCAGTCGAGATGATCCGCAAAAAAACGTTTTATATCAGCTCACGTTCTTGCGATAGAACAAACTGATCAAGCAAAACTCGTCGAACAGTGTCACGAATGAGCCGCAGATTTGCGACGGTTAAAGCCGACTGATGTCACAAGACAAACGAGATATATATTTATGTATATGCACGATTGAATTTGTAACTGAATATCGTGAATACGTCAAAAAGCAGTTAGCGGAATGCGAAGCGAATAGTCGATCGAAACTTGATCAGGCGAACTGTCGATTTGAGGCGTCCAATTGTCAATATTAGCGTTTACTGGGAGAAGAATCAATTTGAATGGCAATCTAGCATAAAACAGTAACAATTAATACACAACAATACGTTAGTTATGGTATTCATTGCAAGTTGGTTGCGTTTATATAAGATGGAAATAGGAATGCTCGGAATGTGCATTATGCTGTAAGTAGCGATCGCTGTCTTAATGAGTTTGCAATTGCTATGTAAAAATTTCTTCATGTCATATTCTCATTATTCACAGTTACCATCATCCGTCTCCTCTGTAATACTGCAACAATAACAACCATACCAATAATATTCGATTGTCTCAACATTTTGCGTTTAATCATCAAATTATGACACATTCTCCATAAGATCATCGTCATATGCACATTGATGACGTAAGTGACCTGAAGTCAGCAATTGCAAGAATGTTGCTCGAATGAGTTGTTCTATGCAACAGACACGAGTGCCTTCGTCACGAAATGACGGAAACGAATCGTTCGCGGAATATACCGCCACGATGAGTCATCATCGCAAATCAGAGTGAGTCTCTCCGGGTGACTAGAACGGAAACAGTTGATCTATCTGGTTCATGGTCAGATATCATGCATATTATTGTATAATATATCCCATCATTTCATTTCTCGCTGAATTCTGACCACTGTTTCAGCATTCCATTCCTGAGAAAACCTGCTGTCTTTGGGTTGGAAGCTAGTAATGTTTTGTATTCTGACCAAAATTTGAATGCATTTCAGCTGATTCGTTTTCAGCAGATGATCGTTACTGTTTGAATTGAGAGATCAATGAGATTCACTCTGAAAGGTGTATCAATTGAAGTGAGTAAACTTCATTCAAGTTACTCATCACATGAATAAAGTCGTAGAGAAAAGTTCTGTAAATGAGATTCGAATGCATTTCAGCTGATTCCCTAAGCGATCCCCTAAGCGCGTGCTGAAATAACTGAAATCTGCAAAAAATTGATGATTCTTGCATTGGTTCGTTTATTACAAAAGAGACGTTTGCATGCGCGTGCCGATGAGGTCAGTCGATAATTTGATTGTCACTACAAATTCTAAACATTCCAAATTTCTCTCAAATATGCGAATAACCGTCGTCAGTGTTTTCCTTATTCCATCGCAATGTCACACCATTCCTATATTTGATTCGTTCGTCACAGAATAACTCTGCATGATATTATAACACCATATAACGTGACTATAACCCAATTAAGATATTTTTCTGTCTCAATGAAACAACCCGTAGTCGAGATATCAAGCAACACTTTCATTAGATCACTTGTTCGCATTCACTTGAACGTGAGCTGTCGCTTAAACAAAAACATCCTTTGACTTGAACGCACTCTCACTGGCACTTTTCTTGAGGGCTTGCGGAAAAATAGTCCCCTCATACCCGAAAAAGCTTCAGCTTGGATAGCATCCCTTCTCCAACTAGAATTCGGTTGTCAAGCACATTTCATTCATTGAAGACATCTTATATCAAAAATTCTGAGAAATGTATACACCCCTTGATCAAAAGCCTCTTCTCCAGGGAACGCAAAGAGCCGAAAGCCCGTAACTAATCTTCAAGCGAATACACTCTTTCTGAACCACTGATTTTATGAATTTATTTATCACAAAAATGAACAATACTCTGTTCTGTGTCAACAAAATTAGTACAATCAAAATTCTAATTACAATTCAACAGTTATGTCCGGCAAATGATAAAAGAATTATGTACTCGATCAATTACATCCATCCACATGAAATTTGTACTAAATTTGCATTTGAACTAAAACTAAAATTTGACAATAAAATTCAACAACGCTATGTATTGTTTCATCGCTATTCATAACAATATTAATCTGGCTCACAAACAGTTGAGATGAGTAGTGATGCATAATAAAAATCAAACGATTCACATTAGATACACAATTAAGAGACATGGCAATAAAATTGTTTAATGAAATGATTGATGCACTTTCAAGATGAAAGAAAGTCAGTGTAGATGAGAAGAAGGAAGGCACAGTGAATATGGTCCTTCATACCTTGGTGCTTCTCGGTCGGTCGATGTTTACAGCAAAAACAATTGAAAGCATCATGGCAATGAAAAAAATTCATTCAAATAACAATCACAGCGGTAATAAAGCGAAACAAAAGTTTCAAAATTATTTACAGCATATTGATGAGAATATGTAAATGACGAGAATTATTTCAAGAATTTTACTAATTTACTTCAAACAAGTTCGACGATAATTTCCAAAATGAAGATTCAACGTCTCAATCTCTTATGTGAAAGAATTAATAATGGCAGTTCATCTCAGTGATTCTAGACCATTTCTCAACAAGTGCTCATTCGTTCTTCCATACAGTTCTTGGAACACAGTGGTTCTCACGTTCGGGTGATCCATTACCCCTTTTGATGATCTGGCAGGCTGTGTTACCCGTACCCCTCAAGA